AGAGCAGAGGCTCCTTGGAGGGGTTCTGGGAATGAAGGGGAGAGCCGTTCGCTTCACGCATCAGGGATTCCTCCTCGGGAGGGTTCAGGCCCATGCTGTAGCCAAAATCACTCTCCTCAGGAGAGGCAAGGTGGCCGTTTGTTTTTCCCGATTCTGGCTGGTTCCCATCCGCCGCAGCGGTTCCAGGAATGCCGTTCGAAAAGGGGGCCGTGGCCACGGAAGGTCCTTGCTGCTCCCACAAAGCCTGGGCCAATCTTTTTTCAAAGATGGACCTGGTGGTCAGGGTGATGGGCCCGCATTTCAGGCCGGCTTTGACTATCTCTTCTCTCAGCTCATCTGGGGTCAGTTGTTTTAACCGGGAGAAGATTTCATCCATCGTTATCCTCCCTGTAGGGCAAAAAGAAAAAAAGCAGGTCATTGTTTAGTCCAGGTAGTCCACGACTTAAAACAGTTCATTTAGTGATTTTTAAACCATCCACTATCTGCGAATACCTGCTCCGTCTGGATCTCAGGTAGAACTAAGGCCCAAGTATCTGCAGGGTGGGTGGGTGAGTATGTATGTATTTATAGGTAAACCTTGACTCACTGGTTTGCTTAATGACCATTATAATGGCACTGAAAGAGTGACATGTCTGTCTGTCTGTCTGTCTATCTACAGTATTCATTCTATCTATCTATCTATCTATCTATCTATCTATCTATCTATCTATCTATCTATCTATCTATCTATCTATCGCATATCTACCTACCTACCTACCTACCTACCTACCTACCTACCTACCTACCTACCTACCATCTATCCTATCTATCTGCCCATACAGAGACACTATCAAATCAATTTAGCCTTTTCCCCAGGCACCTGGAACACTCCGTTCTATAGTATCCCCATAACAGCTCTGTCAGGTAGGCCAGTGAGATGCCACGACAGAAGGTGAACCTCTCCGCTGCTCTCCCTAGTCCTACGCCAACACTGTACAGATAGTCCTCGACTTACAACAGTTCATTTAGTGATTGTTCAAAGTTACAATGGCACTGAAAAGAGTGACTTATGACTATTTTTCACATTTACAACTGTTGTGGCATCCCCCTGGTCCCATGATCAAACTTCAAATGCTTGGTAACTGGCTTGTATTTATGACAGAGTCGGGGTCATGTGATCACCTTCCGATGAGCAAAGGCCAAAGGAGAAACCAGATTCACTTAACAACAGTGTCACTCACTTAACAACTGCAGTGATTCCTTAACAACTGTGGCAAGAAAAGGCCGTAAAATGTGGCAAAAGTCACTTAACAGAGGTCTTGCTTAGCAATAGAAATTTGGGGCTCAATTTAAGTTGAGGACTAACCTGTATGGTTAAAAAGCTATACAAAAGAGGCAGTCAAAAGAAATATTGGTCCCTTATGTTGCACATTGGCTGGATCAGCATTTTTCAACTTTAAAATGCGAGGACTTCAGCTCGCAGAATTCCCCAGCCAGCATGCTAATGGGGCTAGACACCCCTTAAAGCATCGTGAACACTTATGGATATCATATTTAAAAGAAAGATTCTGGAGGGAAAAACACCTCTAGATAAGAACAGTTTGATAAACTCATAGCTGGGTTGATATGTAACTAATAGTGACATAACTAATTAATTAAACATGTTCAATCTTCAAAGTTACTGTAGTATGTTTAAAAAAGCAGATCCGATTATTAATGGGTGCCCTTAATCTATTTCTGTTTTAGCACAAGATCTAATGTTAGCAGCAAGCATGCTGAGAATTATTCTAGATCTTAATCATTAAGCATCTGGCAGAATGCTTAAATCCACTTCTGCTCTCTTATTTAAAAATAGAACGAAGTAAGAGCAAAATCTCAACCGTAAAAGGAAAGCTGCCGATGAAGACTGGAAATAGACATAAATAAACAGAAAGTTTCAATGGCGTAAGAATAAGAATATTGGATATCTTAATTTTTACCAATATTTTAGAATAGAAAAATTGCTACCAACTTTCCACAAAATCATGGATTTCGAAAGCGGATTGTTTTCTTTTAAAATGGAAAATAAATTGGTCTTCCTGCCATAAGATTCTTTTAGGGATTTTAGGTATTGTTTCAAATTGAAGACACTTGATGCCAAAGAAATGCTAATTTAACATGTATTTAGTACCTTCTTGGGAAGTTTAAATACTTCAGACAACCTAACCAAAATCTCAAGTCATCTTGAAACAGTTCCTCTGGACTGGAGATACAAGATAATTTGAATACGCTAAGATATGTTGACATCTTTGCAAATGCTATTGTTGTTGATCACAAATGGAGAATACCATGCAATACGATAGTTTTAATCTAAAAGTATCAGTACATATTGCTTTCCTGTCATCGATCACGTTGGGTGCAACAGCAAAATCAATATCCAGAAAGACAATCCTTTGCTAGTGACTCAAGCAGCCTGAATAAAATATTTGTTGGGAATGCTTTAATTAATTTAATTTCACCAGGATGTGGGTTCATATCCAAGCATGTTTGGCTTTCCCAAGAAAAAGCACTGGCTTTGATGTAAAACCAAAACAAATACAAGATAACAGAAATATTGTAACTATTTCTATGCACTAGTGATTTTTTTTCTTATTATGCTTATATATCACTAAATGTAAACAACCGTGTTTAACGAGCCCATGAATCTAAATCAGAACTACTACCATGGACAGTGAGTCTTTTATCTTTTTTTGCTTTAAAAATTCTGCATTTCCATGTGAAAATCCCTCGAATATGAAGCTCCTCGGAATCAGTTGACATTTGGGCAACCTCATCTGCCTACATAGTGATAGTCTGGGCATCTCCAGAGGATTCATATCCAAAATAAATATAGCATGGGAATCCACAGAGGGCGACCAAGTGAGGGCACAGGCATCCTGACAACTGGCAAATGATGCAATTTGTGTGGTTGCATCAGATGTCATAATTGACATCTTTTTTGCATCGATGGCTGGTCCTGGGTGCTGCAGGATACAAGAAACAAGAGAGGAGGAGGAATTTAGATTTTAGATTTAGATTTTATTAATATTTGTAGCCCGCCCTTTTCCCTGAGGGGACTCAGGGCGGCTCACATAAAATC